GTGTGTAATTGTGTCTGTTTTTGTTTCCAAGGTGAAAAGCTTGCAGCTGTAACAAATAACCTATTCCGCAAAGGTTAGGAATGGTGTCGCAAAGCTCCAACGGGGCCTAATGTCAGTACGAGAGTGAGAGCGAGTGGTGAAGAGGCGAATAAATGACCGGTGAAAAGTGTTTGTGGCAGATGTGACATACACAAAGGGGAGCAAGTGTCTTAAAGATTAATACAGGACAGGCAGCCAGAAATCTCTGCAGCACCAGACATCAGAGGAGAAAAACATGAGAAACATGGGTAAGATTGAGGAGGAGAGGTATAAAGGTTAATATTTAGGTATGATTTATTGATGTGGTGGCTCTCAGGAGGAGGACCTTTAAACTATAGAATCTGTCATTTTCGTTTCTAAACTCCCTCAGCTTGAGAACAAATATGCCTCAGTCAGTCCTTCATACCTCTGGAGAAATCATGCAGGGTTCAGATGAAATCATTATGGCTGCACTTTTTACTGTGGTGGCTCCTGAGCTGATAACTGCATTGCTGCTGCAGATCCATTCACAGCTCCTCAGATTTAATATGCCAAGCTAAAATAGTAATTTTAACATTTCAGCACATTTGCATCTATCATAATCAAATTCTATATAATAGATATGTTTATATAAACTGGCTCTAACATTTTAGGATGATAATATGTTAAATGAAACTCCAACATTGTTCATACTGAGACAACTACAACATAGCTGTAACAGAGATATAGTTTTCCAAGATGTTTGCTGTACAATAATTGGCTATGTTTTATATTTAGAAGAATTTAAAACACCTGAAACATTTACTTTAACTGGATTGTTACATCCAAAGAAAACAGTTTTAGGTTTGAAATAAATACTTATCCGTTTGCGACCAGTATGACAGCTCATTGAAAGTTTAACCTCATGCACAATGTATATCATTGTCAACACAAGAACAACTTTTGAACTAAAAGGATTTAAAACTACACTCAAACCTTTTCTGGAATTTACTGACAGCTTGTTTTTTGTTAATCTATATCTAAAGGAATTATATCACTTCTTCACAGGTTGATTTCTAAGTTGCACTGTCCTCCAGTGCTCCTCCACAGAATTAACACTTTTACATGGTTGAGAAGTTGGAGAGCCACTTGATTCATAGTGGCTATGTTGTCTGGTTTCTTGGCCCCTGGTAGTGTCTCATGACAATTTGGCCTCAGGAAAGGGATTGGGCTAAAAATGATTCAAAGTAGGAACTATGTCCAGTCTGTAAAGAAACAAGGACACCCTCTTGGAGCCAGGCTTGGGGATGGGGTGTACTTGGCTCCTGATCTCTGCCAGATCAAGCCAAAAAATAAAATAAAATAAAAATATGCCACCTCTCCATAACCCCACCATGATAGCTTTACACCACCTGGAAAGCCATGAAGGCCAGGTGTTATGTAAGACAGTTGGCAAGAGTGACTCATTGACTATGCCAAACATAAACTGACTCTAGAGATGTGGAATGTCATCTCAAGCAGATTAAATTAGCTACCTTTGTAAGATAGCCACACTCAGCTTTAGAGATAAGGTGAGGAGAGGAGCATTGAAAGAAGTCAACTGAAGCGGTTCATGTATCCGTTGAGGATAAGTCAAGTGTCTTTCATTGGAGGTTTCTCGGGAACTTCCCACTGGCAGGAGACCCATATGCCAGAACTTGCTGTAAGAATAATGTATTCTCTCTGGCCTTGGAACAACTTTGGATCCCCCAGAAGGAGCTGGACAGTGTCACTGGTGAGAGAGATGCCTGGATTTTCCTCCTGGGACTGTAGATAGAAAGGTGCTAAGTACAGTACAGTCACCATTTACCATTTAGTACTTTTACGACTTTACTGAACATGCACTTATAGGCTTTAAAGATTCTGTTTTATATATACAGATGTTTATATCACATAGTAGAAAAACAAACGTGCATTTTCCTAATTTCTTTATATTTGACACACCTTTCTCTTTAGCCACGTTTGGTTGTCAGTCTTCAAACCATTTTAGAGGCTCTTCAGTGACCCAACAGTTAAAGAGCCATTTTGTCATCACTCCAGAGTTGGATTTGAAGAGAGCAAAGCTGAGCATGGAGGATTTTACGTCTTTATTGAATCGGGTTGTTTTTGCTAAAACGAAAGGATTTTGTTCCTCGTTCTGTCTCCCACTGAAAGAAAGACATTATGCCCTGTATGAATTTATAGAAAATCTAAAGAAAATTAAACTAAAGGTAAATTCCACAACATGTGGTGCCTTTTTTCTGACAGTTTATTATAAAGTTCAACCAAAGCTATGACAAAGTTATTGTCTAAGTGGTATTTATTCCTCGTCCCTATGAGTTACAGTTGTCTGAGTGGTCATCAGTGTTTAGATTACTGAGACAGAAATACTAAACTTGCTATTTATTTACAATTTATTTGACAGGCATTGATGTAAACAAATAAAAAATTACTGAAAATTTAAGGAAAAAATATTATTAACCAAATACTGTACTTTTCGCTGTATAAGTCGCCCCTTTTTGCATAAATTAGCATGCCCTGCGACTTATACAGTGAAGCAACATATTTATGTTTTTTTTTTTTCATATTTATAACCCAATTTTTGGATGAGATCTGACAATTTCTTTCATTCTGACATGGAAAATGTTGAACACTACCATTTTCAGCCAGTAGAGGACCATCAAGGTATATGGCAAGCCAAGAGACACGGCTTGCCGTACAGAGCCACCTTCGTCTCGCTCAGGAACTCCTGGAGCAAACATCAAATCAGCTGCATCTTGCCAAGCCGCCCAGACAGAATGCAGCTGATTTGACCACTGAAGTGCATTTATTATTAAGGAAAAGTTCCACTGAGACCCACCTTTACTATAATTTTGAGCAAACAAATAATTGTTTTTAGGTGGTTATCTTGTTAAATTTCGAATAAATGCACAGCAAGTCCTCCCACTGCGTGCTCCCGCAGCTGCAAATTGATTTTTGAAATGCAGCTGATTTGACCATTAAAGTGCATTTAAGGAAAAGTTAAACTGAGACACACCTTTGCTATAATTTTGAGCAAACAAATTATTGTTTTTAAGTGTTAATCTTGTTAAATTCTTGTTAAAGTCCTCCTGTGCACTCTCCTGCAGTTGCCATTTGGCAGCCAATCGATTTTTGTTACAACACCGGACTACGTTTCCGGTTGGTCATTGATGACGCTTAACAAACGTGATGCGTCAGCAGTGACACATAATAGATGCGGCTTATACGGCGGTGCGACGTGTACGAAGGCAAGTACAGTAAATAAATGTTACATAAAAATACCTGTAGATTTTTCTCAAGTAATCTCTTCTTGTGATTTATTTTTTATTTTTAATGTTTTGTTTGTTTGTTTGGCATGGTTAGTAATCCTGGAAGTACTGTAATGGGAAGTTTGTTGCAAAAACCAAAAATCTAATATGTAAAGGATGTGTTTAAACCAAAACTATAATATTTCATTAAATTGAACCAGGCAGTTTTGTGTCTAAACCTAACTAAACATCTTCTGAGAATAGAAAATGTAAGCTAAAGTGTTGCAAACTTGTCTTGAGTAAGTTGTGGATTGAAGCCACAGGAACAGAACTGCTGTATCTATTTCTGGTGTTTGAAAGTCATTGATGTTTTGCTGGTAAGACTGAGAAGTAAAGAACTTCCCCATAGGGTCATATGAGGCCAAAGACATGTTAAAATGTTACTCCCAAAAAAGTTGGGATTAGGAAATGCTGAAGATGGCCTTAATTAAGTATTTTAGATCAAAATATTTGATCTCATTTTTTTAATTAGTGCCATCCAATATCTCAACATGTTGTAACCAGGTGAAATAGTTTCACAATGAATGCATGAGGTCCTCTAAATTTGAAGCCTTCCAATAACGGCACGAATAATGCTGACATGCATCTCTCTGCGCTATAGTGAAAGTGTAAGAGTCATGGATCAGGACTTTTTGGAAAGGCAGAGGAGACAAGTGATAAATGAGAGCAGGAGGGACGGGGCAGTTGTGTGAAGGGTGCACATGCATGACGAAACTCTGGAGGGAGATGTGTTTCAATTAGAAAATCACCAGATGAATGATTGATTTAAAGCAGAAAGAGACACTGAAGGATACATGGGAGGACGTCCAAAAAGGGAGATGGAAGAGGAAACAGAATGAGTGATGAGAAGGTGGAAATAGAGGCAGGAGGAGAAAGAAGAGGGTGGCTGTGGGATAAAAGAAGAATGAGATGGGAAAGAATTAGATAAGTCACCGAGCAGAATGACAAATGTGGACCAAGTACTGTGAGAAAAGTGCAGAAAATGGGGAGAGACTAGAAAAAGAACCAAAACACATTAAGGCCTCAAGGTTGATATTTACCACTCGTTAATATGTAAAATCTAGATGAAAGCACAATTTTGCCTTAAAATTTTTTTTTTTTTTTTAAGACAAAAGTAGCATTGCTTTTTAAGCCATATTTAAATTCAAAGACATATTGGGAGCCCTAAGATTATTGTGGGTGAGTGGGTGAATGTGCAGGTTTGATACAAGGGATCCTTGTAGATATTTCACCATCTTAATATCTCTATTGTATTGCTTTAAAATAAACCTGACAATACAAAGCATTGAAAAATGGTCAGTGTGTACTTTTGTACTTTTACTTTGGAGTATAATTTGTTTAGTTAGAGAGAAAAGCCTTATTGTGTTTTGCCAAACCACAAAGTGTCAATCTCTGAAATCTTCTCTGTTAAATAAATGATGGATTCTGTCGCTGTACTATCAGTCAGTGCAGTGGCAGTAGTTTTAGCATACTAAGTGACTAACTTGTGATTTATTAATGATTTCAATGGATGATTATCTGACCTCAGGATTTTTGTCGTCTCCCCTCCATCTTTTCATGTTTCCCTCCCCATCTGTCTTGCTCCTTGTCATTTCTTTGCTCCTCTCATCCTCCATCTCTCTGTCTCCCCCTTCTCTCTTTTCTTCTCTACCTCAGGGCAAGTGTTCCTCTAAATGCTACAACATGTTCATCATAGAGACGGTGTGTGTGGCCTGGTTCTCTCTGGAGTTCCTCCTGCGGTTCATTCAGGCGCGCAGCAAACTGGATTTCCTCCGCGGGCCACTTAATATCATTGATGCTATGGCCATCCTGCCCTACTATGTCTCGCTTGTGGTGTCGGAGGAGGATCCAGCCTCGGAGCATGAGAGGCCAGGAGGAGGTAAGGGCTATTTGGACAAGCTGGGCCTGGTGCTGAGGATCCTGCGAGCTCTGAGGATTCTCTACGTGATGAGGCTGGCTCGCCATTCTCTCGGCCTGCAGACGCTGGGGCTGACGGTCCGGCGCAGTACTCGAGAGTTCGGGCTTCTATTGCTTTTCCTCTGTGTGGCTGTGACCCTTTTTTCCCCTCTGGTCCATCTTGCTGAGAGCGAGCTGACAGGTGCTCATGACTTCAGCAGCATCCCCGCCTCCTATTGGTGGGCCATTATCTCTATGACGACTGTAGGCTATGGGGACATGGTACCCAGGTCCATTCCGGGGCAGGTTGTAGCTCTGAGCAGCATCCTCAGTGGGATTCTCATCATGGCCTTCCCTGCTACCTCCATCTTCCACATGTTCTCCCGCTCCTACCAAGAGCTCAAGATGGAGCATGATCGATTGTTCAAAGAGGAGTGTGCAGCTGCTGCAGCTGCTGCTGCCGCCGCAGGAGAGGGCCAAGAGGCTGAAGGGGAAGAAAAGGAGGATTCACCTCAATCTGGCCTGGAATCACATCCAGACAAGAACAGTGAGCACTCACTGGAATCTCTGGCACTGCTCAGTGAAGGGGGCAAAGCCACAGGAAATTATAACCACAGTCTTCCACCAGCAGCTTTCTGAACATTTATGCTCAGAAGTTCTGTGCTAAACTTCCAGATGAGTTCATTAATCTTTCTGCTGCATAAAATCAAGGTACTGCAAAGGCCTCACTGATAAAGGTGTCTGCATTATTTTGGATACAAAGACTTCTTTTTTCTCTTCAAGGTGTCGGCAAGAAATGTGCCCAGAAACTGAAGGACATCCAGCCCTTTAAATTTGACGGTCCTCTTTGTCTGACCAGAAAGCCTTTGCAGCAATATTAATAACAGGCTGCTTCCATAAACACGCACTATCAAATCCAAAGTTGCTTTTCCTTCCACTGTGAAACTATTTACAAACTTTTAGATGAATATTTGTTTGTTTCTGACATGCTGCCTATAGAGTATGATCTCAAAATGTCTCATGTACTCAATTTTTCTGCCATGAATGCAAAGAAGTGCACATCCTAATGTATATTCAAGAAGCTTAAAGCCATGATCTTAGAAGAAATGTCAATAAACTGATAGCTTAATTCATACAATAATGTATATCCACCTCTCTCTTGTTTGAATGCCTGGATTTAAAGAAAAAGTGTATCTTTCAACTCTAATATAAATTACAAGTAAGCAGTTTTAACATATGCAGGATGGTTTATCCTTCTTTTCTAATCAATAAGAAAAGAAACAGACAGAGATGGAAAAGGGAGTATTAGTTTTAGAGAAGACGAGTGTGAGAGTGAGCTTTAAGAACCATGAAATGTATTTTGCAATGCTCCAAATAAAAGCTCTCCTTGTAATCTGAGAGAAATCCATTTTCTGGGCTGTAGTTTTTTTTTCTTTCTTTCTTTCTTTGGAGTTTGTTCAGGGTTTGATGGTCTAATCTCCTTGGCTCACAGTGGATGCTCAGTCAGAGTCCTGTTGCCAAAATCTGCTGAGAAAAGAAGAAACAGAAACAGCTGTCCCAGCCCAGACACTCCGATAAGTATTCTGTGAATTCAGTGGCAATCCCCTTCTTACATCATCCCCAGATTTTTATGTGCAAAGCTGCCTCCTGCTAGACGTGGGCCTTCTTTATTTGTTTACTTTTTTACAAATGTGCTTTAAAGATAGGGCCTCTGCATGCCTCTCCTTAATTACTGAGAATTAAATTGAACATTTCCCCCTCCTTGCTTCAGTCCTGAAGTAGTCTTCAGACTGATCTGATTCATTTTCATATTTCTAAGATGATTAAGAGATGTAGACTGACCAGATGTTGATGTAATTTAGATTGAAATTGGGATTAAAACCCACACATACAAGCTACTGTCTGAAACACAGCCTCATCTGGTTGCTTTACAATTAAAGTGTCTCCAGTCTAAACATTATGCAGAGCAGCATCTAATTTTATCTGACTGATTCTCTGATTTATGGGCGTGCAGGTATCTGTAGCTACTGCATTAAGACATCTGGTCAAAATTAGCCTGAAAAAAATATGATGGATTACAAAGACTGTGGTTTTCAGATATCTGTAATTGTTAATGTACAAAATTGTTGTCAGGTTTGTTTACAACTACTGTAGAGCATGATTCTAAATCAATTAAAGAGGCAAATAATCTTTAGAAAGCTGCACTTAAGGCTATAAATATGCTTTTAGCTGCTTTAATGCTTGGGTGACTTTTTCAGCTTTTTTAAAAAAAAGGTCACCTGTCAGCCAAGGTTTTACAACAACTAAATCACAACATGTTCAAATTCACTCCTAAATGTATTTGAAAACAAGCAACTATAAAATCTTATTGTTGCTGAAAATGAAGAATGCAAATACTTTAAGCTTATTATGGCTTCACATGAGCAGCATGCTGTGTTCTGATTGTATTGCTCTGTTTACTTCTGATCATTTACATGCATTTAAGTAAATTAAAGGAATATTCTGCTATTTTCTTAAGTGATGTGTTAAATAATTATTAAAAGTACCTATCAGCCATGACATCAGTTATAGAGAATTAAGTACATAAAAGGCCAGACGTCTTCATCTGGGCTTATCTAACAGCTAACTAAATGAGCTAGCCATTTTTTAAATTCATTTTGCAGGCTTATATAATAAAAATAACACAGCAGTATTTATTAATGCTTCAAGGTTAAATTTAAACCTCTATTGTTTTTGCCCAACACCATTTGTTTAATGGTTATTAGCAAACTGCTTGATCCACAATGAGAAGGTTCTGCTTATAAGACTGAATTTGTTGCAGCTCTTCAGACTGAAGACGTTTTTTTGGATAAAAGATGAATCGTTTCAACAAAGAAGAACTCATGGAAAGGACCTAACTCAGCTTTCTCAACCAAACAATGTCTGCATTACTACACCCATGCATGAGTGTGGAGCATAGATAGACCATGCTTATGCCAATGGTGAGAAGCTGATGAACGTATCATCTTGTCATATGAAAATATTACTAAACTCATGTAATGGTTTATGCACAGACCACATACATTTGCATAATAACACAGATTTTGTTCATTTGAGAAAACAGTGATAAACCAAACAAACACGTCATAAAAAAGTGTAAAGGTTTAATATACTATACTTTAAAACGTGCAGTTTTATCACACAGCACAATGCCACAGATGATTTGAAGGAGTGTGCAGTTGGCATGCTGACTACAGGAATGTCCACCAGAGCTGTTGCCCATGAAATGGTTGTTAAATTCTCTACGATAAGCCGTCTACAAAGGCGTTTCGGAGAATTTGGCAGTACATCCAACCGGCCTCACAACCGCAGACCACGTGTAAGCACACGAGCTTAGAACATCCACCTCCAGCATCTTCACCTCCAAGAGAGTCAGAAACTAGACACCCAGGCAGCTGCTGCAACAACTGGTTTCCATAACTAAAGAATTTCTGCACAAACTGTGAGAAATGTCAGGGAAGCTCATCTGCATGCTTGTTGTCCTCATCGGGGTCTCTGACTGCAGTTTGTCGTCGTAACCATCTTGAGTGAGTGAATGCTCACATTCAATAGTGTATGGCAGGTTGAGGAGGTGTTCTCTTCACAGATGCAGCCCAGTTTGAACTGTACAGGGCAGATGGCAGACTGCATGTATGGCGTTGTGTGGGTGAGAGGTTTGCAGATGTCAACGTTGTGAATCGAGTGGCCCATGGTGGAAGTAGAGTTGTGGACAGGTGTATGTTCTGGACAACAAACACAGGGGCTGGTGTACTTACATGTAGTATGGTTGTGAGGCCGGTTGGATGTACTGTCAAATTCTCTGAACACGGACTATCCTGCAGTCAGCATTCCAACTGCATACGCCCTCAAATCTTGTGACATCTGTGGCATTGTGCTATGTGGTAAACTGCACATTTTAGAGTAGCCTTTTATTGTGGGCAGCCTAAGGCACACCTGTGCAATAATCATGCTGTCTAATCAACATCTTGATTTGCCACGCCTGTGAGGTGGATGGATTATTTTGGCAAAGTAGAAGTACTCACTAACACAGATTTACACACACTTGTGAACAATATTTGCAAGAAAAAGGCCTGTTGTAGAAAAAGTCTTAGATATTTGAGTTCAGCTCATGAAAAAACTCGGAAGAAAAACAAAAGTGTTGTGTTTATACTTTTGTTCAGTGTATTAGCTACTAAAAGGATACAGTACTAACTACTGATAACTATTTGACAGAAACCCCCTTCAAGAATGACCGGAATGTCCCCTTAAAAGAAAATGGACATAACATGTTACAACATACAAGATGTTTAATATATGTGACATTGCCTACACATTGAATAATTTGTTTCATAAATGTGTTCCTGACTCATTCCAAATGTGTAACACTTCTTCCAGAGCTGAGAGAACCGCAACTCACAATGTGGACGCACTGATCTTTTACCATGGGAGCAAACAAGAAAGGTACCTCAACCCAACTCAGTTTTTATTACGTGCAATGTAGAAATGTAGTGAGATAGGTCGGTTAGCTTCGTTAGCTTCGGAGCTCCACTACATGTTATAATATCTGGACTAGTTCAAGTACCTGATATTATACTTAATTTAAACGGGTTCTCTCTTTTTCGAGCTACTTGACAGATATGTGACAGAGAACAGTGACGTGAGACGTTAATTTTCTTTGACCCATCAAAATGAATGCGGTCATTTATTAACAGAATCAAAGTTTAACATCAAACATTGTACACGTGATTATTCTGATTGAAGCAATAACACAGCTTAATTACAACAGACAATTATGAAAATATCTGGATGATTTACTGGCAGATAGAAGAGTTTTAAAGATGGGAAATGAAGGAGTTTATCTGGAGAGAAAAGATGTATGAGGGAAAGTGTGTCTGTATAAGAACGGCACTCTCCATTCGAACCCAGCTTTACCTCGGTACGCTTCGGTAGGAAATCGACTCGTTACCTCTCTGAAGATGAATCAGCTGGTACGGAGTTCCATTTAACGCTACCATTTCCAGCGTCTCCGTAGGATGGTTGGAAAACGTCCGGAGTAGTGACGGTACTTCGTTCAACACACGTTCACCTCACGGGTGGACTCACATGAGGAGTAAGTCCGTCAGAGGTTCCACTCAGATGTGGAAGATTCCATAATCCCCACGAGACTCGGAAGAACTTCGGATCATGTCTGGAACTTCCTGTTCTCTCCAGCAACTTTTCTGTTCGGTTCTGCCCTCCGAACTGAACTGCTCTCCCACCGCACTGGTTGGAACTAGGAAGTGTCGACATTTAAAGAGTTCTGTTTCCGGTTCATTTGGGAAGTCCTGATTGGCTGAAAGAGCCAATCAGGGGTGTGTTTTTTGTGATGTAAGAGGTCACTAGAAGTCAGAAAAACAGAAAAATGTTTTGGAACAGACAGAAAATGTTTTTGAAACAGACAAGAGAAATGTTTAGGCGAGATGGGAGGAAACAGGTGCCAGCTTCTCTATTTACGTCTGAGAGGATTTAAAAACATGACAGTTCGTTCTAACAAACTTGTTGGCGTTTGTCTCCGACTTTTGACCGACTTACAACCTGCTCATTTCAGACAGAAGATCAAGAAAATGAATAATTACTCTGTA